TTCTTTGCTAGTATGTACCGTTGTCTGGCTTCGATTAACCCTAGTTTAAACCTAGTTTTGTGTTCCACCCGAGTTCCACACGATGCACTCGCATGTAGACTGTGGAGCATGCAGCGCACACACATTCCTAAAAAGAACACAGCACCCGGCATGTCAAGTTGATAGATTCCACGAATCTTTATAGAGATGTGACATATGATCTTATAATGTTTGTGCAATCTTCCAGCGCGGGTGAATTCAATCTGGAGGAGGAGAACTTTGCCCAACGGGATCACCATATAATTGTGGAGGTGCTAATCTCCTCGTGGTACGCCTTGTTGGCCAATACGGATCTCATTTGCTACATTGTGGTGTTCATTAATCAGGTAAGAGATGGGTTTGATCATCTCTGAAGTTGTATTTATTTTTCTTACCATTTTTCAGGTGGTCAATGCCAGTCTTATCTCGCTGCCGCTGCCCATCATGGTCTTTTTGTGGGGCACCTTGTCTCTGCCACGTCCCACGAAAACCTTCTGGGTCACTTTGATAGCCTACACCCAGGCCATTGTCCTGATCAAGTGCATCTTCCAGTTCAAACTGATCTGGTCCAATTACCACCAACTGCCCAACCAACCGCTGGCACCGGCCAAAATCTTTGGCGTTGAGAACAAGGCCCAATATGCGATTTATGACCTGATTCTGCTGCTCGTCCTGTTTCTGCATCGCTATCTGCTTAAATCGCAGGGCTTGTGGAAATCGGGCTACAAGGACACGGACAACCAGTTCACCAAACCCACCGCAAGTGATGATCGCGATGATAGTGACAATCTATCGCAACCCGACTCCCGCCAGCTGAACGATGATGCTGCTCAGAAGTTGAGTCTCCAAGTGAGTCAGGCTTCTTTGCCAGGATCGCCAGAGTTCAGCAAGAGTGGCATCAACCAGCTAGAGTAAGTCTTACCTGTCCTTTAAGAAACTTTTTATAATAATTATAATAATCTCTTCATTTTAGACGCACCAAGTACACCTCTTCGCTGTACAAGTTCTTCTTTAGTCTGGTCCACAAATCCCGCCTAGCCACAGATGTTTATGCCCTGATGTTCCTCTGCGATTTTGTGAACTTTTTTGTGCTGCTCTTTGGTTTCACTGCATTTGGAGTAAGTTACGTTAAAAACTAGAGCCCTGCGTTAATCATTCAATTTTTGTTTTATCATATGCAATTCTGATTTGTTCAATTCAATTCTATGTGAAATATATTGAATGTTTTTCTAATTTATTTCAAATTGAATGAATGAATAATTTTCATGAACTTTTTGAATTTGCAGGTTTTTTTGTGCTTTTATTTAAGAACAAGAAGTGAAAAATTTTTAACAAATCAATGTTAAGTGCATAGTAAATAAAATTCTGGCAGATTTAATCACAAAACTATGGCACTTTCTTCTTCTAAAGAAATTATCGTTTGAATTATTTCGGAATTCATGCCATTCATTCAATTCTATTAAACTCAAAATTCTTATTATTTCTTTCATGGGTGAAAGTGAATTGAGTTTCACATAACTCCTTCCAATAAACATTTTGTTAAGCATATCAAAAAAAAAATCATAAAACAAAAAAATTAAAATAATTCATTGAATCTATTAATTCAGGGCTCTATTAAAAACTATAAGATTCTATAAGTTATCTAAATCTAAAACTCCCTATCCTTAGACCCAACAAACGGAAAGCGACGAGGGCGTCCAGACCTATCTGGCGGAGAACAAAGTGCCCATACCTTTCCTCATCATGTTACTGGTTCAGTTCCTGCTCATCGTCATAGATCGAGCTTTGTACCTGCGCAAGGCCCTGGTGAACAAGATTATCTTCCACTTTTTCTCGGTGATTGGAATCCACATCTGGATGTTCTTTGTGGTGCCGGCCGTTACGGAGCGGACTTTTAATTCCCTGGCACCGCCAATCATTTTCTACGTGATCAAGTGCTTCTACATGCTGCTAAGCTCGTATCAAATCAAATCCGGTTACCCCAAGCGCATTTTGGGCAACTTCTTCACCAAGGGATTCTCGATGGTTAACATGATTGCCTTCAAGGTGTACATGCAGATTCCGTTCCTGTACGAACTGCGAACTATATTGGACTGGGTGTGCATCGACAGCACAATGACCATATTCGACTGGCTAAAGATGGAGGACATCTTCTCGAATATCTATCTCATCCGCTGCACCAGACAGTCGGAGACAGATTTTCCGGCCATGAGAGCGCAGAAGAAGGCGTCGCTCTCTAAGCTCATCATGGGTGGCACCGTCGTCCTCCTGATTGTGATCTGCATTTGGGGACCCCTTTGTCTGTTTGCCCTCGGCAATGCGGTGGGCACCTCGAATGTGCCCTACCAGGTGTCGCTGTCGATACGAATTGGTCCCTACGATCCCATCTACACAACGAATAACTACGATAGTATCTTCGAGATAAAGCCCGAAATGTACTCTCAAATGACGAACGCATATATTAAGGAGAAGCAGGCCCTCACGTTTATTACTGGCTACGATGCAACGGATGTGGCGGCGGTTAAACTGGCTGGGAACTCGCCATCCCTCTGGAATATAGCACCGCCGGATAGGCAGCGGCTATTGAATGATTTGCGAAACAGTAAGATCATTACTTATTACTTTAAATCCTGATAAGAATTTTTACATACCTATTTTTAATTATTTTAGATCACACACTGAAGGCCCGATTCTCCTATTCCCTCACCCGAAAGGCTCCCGCCAAGGGATTAAAGGAGAATGTTGGCGATGAGCATGCCATTTCCCTGGACGAATCCTTCGAGGGACGGGCAGCGCTTATTCGTATGCTCAGCGAAACTCATGACGTGGAGCCAAAACTCAGCAATATCACAACGAATGGAACAACCAATGAAGCAACTAATGGTACCACCAATGGAACAACCATTGGAACTATTTACAAAACAACACCCGAAGTGGAGGAGGTAGTCGTGCTACCAGGCATGATACCAAAGTTCATCAAGGTTCTCAATTCCGGCGATGCTGCTGTGGTTGGTGTGCTAAGTGAAAAGCATCACGATTACCGACCGTTGGTTATCAAAATGCATCGGGACAACGAGACCAATGGTTTGTGGTGGGAGATACGGGACTTCTGCGACGATGCCTTCTACAACGAAACGCTGTCCAAGTTTGCCTACAGCGACTGCACTTCGGGAATAGTGATGTACACATTCAACGACAAGAAGTTCCCATCGACGTTCAGTTTCCTTACAGCGGGAGGGTAAGTGGGCAGAAGATTCAACAGGATTCAGTAACTATAATATTTATCCTTACAGCATAATTGGTTTGTACACCACCTTTGTGTTATTGGCCTCGCGCTTCATGAAGTCCTTCATTGGTGGTCAGAACCGAAAGATTATGTTCGAGGATCTGCCATATGTGGATAGAGTGCTGCAACTTTGTCTGGATATTTATCTGGTAATTTAATTAGCCTAGGGTTTAAAATACAGTAAAGCGTTTAACTAATACCCTTATTATTTTCCTAGGTACGCGAGGCTTTGGAATTCGCTCTGGAAGAAGACCTGTTTGCCAAATTACTCTTCCTGTACCGATCGCCCGAGACGCTAATTAAGTGGACTCGTCCCAAGGAGGAGTACGTGGACGATGACGGCGACACCGACTCGATTCCCAGCCGAATGAGTGTGCGCCGGCCCGAGCAGCTGCAGCCGCAGCAACCGCAATAACATAGGGCTAACCCAAACGCTTAAGTAATCTAGAGTTTGTTTACGTATTTAGTACGTATTGCGTTATCGTAGGTTTCATAGACTTTTTTAAACATTTTTATATCGAGAAGCAAAAACACAAATCGAAACACAAAAGTACACATCACTCATTTATACAGTCGTTCGATTTTTTGTCAAAAGTACTGCCCGTGTGTGAAACTGTGTATTTAGTTTTAAGTAAGCGAAAAGTGTTGATATTTGTTAGTTTAAACAAATGAAAATACTAGGAAAATTTAAGTTACTCGTAATTAAGTGTAAAAATCGAAGAATAGTTGCGGAAGAAAAATAATAATAATACTAATGATGAAAACTCATATTCAGGGAATTTAGCATTTTACAGAAACCGTAAAAATAATAACTAAATTAAAGCATCCGAGTTATTAAGTAACAATAACTATAGCATCTAGATAATTAATGTTTTATATTTGTACGAAACAAAAATATCACGTAATATTAACCATATTGCTTCGAATCGCATACATTTATAAGCTATTTGCCTGCGTGTGCCCTTTACAAAACTGATTAAGAATATTAAGTATATGTTATACTGTTTGTTAAAGAACTAAATCGATATATGTTGCATATATATAGAGCGTTGACTTTAGTTATAGGCATATCACGTAACATATTTTTGTATTGAATGCAAATATCATTTGCTTAAGCAACTGTTCTCTAGGCGAATCCATATCAAAACGAAAAAATGTAAATTGCTATACCGCGTTGGCTTTGAAACAAAATTGATCAACTACACAAATATCTCCCATTTGCAATCTCTTAAAATTAGTAAACGCCAACTAACTCTGTATGTTCTATTTTACATATATATATCACAACGAACTAAAAGTGAAAATTGTAAAAATTAATGAAGTTTTGTACCAAGAAGCGAACAACATAAACAACGTAAATATAATATGTACCTATTTTTTATAGTTTAAATTCAAAACTAAGCTTAATAACTATGTGGAATACTTACGAACTAAAATAAAGAATCCAAATTGATTGGGTAATTGTCTAGAATAGGTATTTATAAACTAATTTCGAGAAAAGAACCCGCAAAGAGCGCGAATTCTTTAGAACTTATTTAGAGAAATTTGCCGCGGTTTGGGACTTTCTTGCAAAGAGCGCGAATTCTTTAGAACTTATTTAGAGAAGTGTGACGGCGTTTGGGACTTTCTTGCACATTGATGAATTGGGAACTTAGTGTGTCGAACAAATAAAAACAACCAATTATAGATGTTTTTTATTTTTTTTTTATTTAACACAGATACAAATTTACAAATATTGCAAAGTGGATAGAGTTAAATATCCCCAAATTAGGGAATTCGTGTGGCACAATTTCTATAATGATTAAACCTCAGCTCGCTGTCCTCGCTCGTGGCACTCTCGCTGCTCTCCTGGCGGTTGATCTTGACGGCAGGATACACCTCCTCCCACTCGGATTCGCTGCGACTAAGGACACCTCGCCGTCGCGGCGTTGCAAAGGAGCTCTCCTGCTGCTGCGTTCTGGCGGTGGCAGCGGCTGGGGACGGAGGCATCGGATTATTCAGCATTTGGGTGACGCTCTTGGACAGTCGAATCGACTGGATGCGATTGTAGCCACTGCCCGATGGCTTGATACGCTCCAGTTTTGACGTGATTCGTGCCATCTCACTGCTCATCCACTCGGGAGCGCGCATGTTGTTCAAGTGCGACGACTGCTGGTCAAGTAAACCGACTGGGGAATCGGTCAAGAGCTTTTATAGCAAGGTTCGAGTGACATAAGTCCAGTCACAAATCAATAAGGCTTGCATTAGGCCTCTGTTGCGCTTGGGTTTCCACCCCCAGTGCTATTGACCTATTAACTAATCAAACACTCGGCCATGCAACACCTTCGATTATTGCAACAAAATATACATAACATTTAATTAAGAACTAGGCGAACGGCGAGGGACACAGAGAGAGACGAGTTAAATAAGAATAACAGAATAAAATAGCCACAAAATTCGAGCTAGTGGTGGGTCAGTGCAACGAAGATATGCAAAATTGTGTGCTATATATGTATGTACATAATCTAGTTTCGAGGTCCCTGCGCTTAAGACACCTTGCAGTTGTCGTCGTGCAGCCGATCGCCATCGAGCTGAACGTCCTCCTCGGCGGTGGAGAAGATGCCGCCCTGCAAGACCTTGTTGACCGCGGCTCGAGCCAAATAGCCCGTGGTCTCCGAATATGGCAGCGAGTAGAAAGCCTTGAGATCCTCGTTCTTGGTCTGCTGGGGTTGCGGCTGCGGTTGGTGCTGGATGTTGTTGTCCTTGCAGTACATCGCAAACGCCTCCGCCAAGATGCCATCCAAGTCGAGAGCTTGTTTGAAGTGCAGCTCGGGATTGCTGAAAGAACAGACAAACATTTAATTAGTTTGATTTAAATTAATTTTTAAAAATCGAAATAAATTATTTTACAGTGGTCGGCATAATTATTTTTAAAGATTTTAAAGTTAAATCTACTCATATTTTGAACTGATAATAGAAACATTTTCAATTCAATTCAATTCCGTTTAAATGACACAACAATGTTCTCAACCTATTAAGCACCCTTTGAAAAGTTAGAAAATTAAACAATTTATTGTGAAGGTCAAATTTTAAACTTTTTTCCTCGGGCTTAAAACATAAATTTTTTGATGCAAAGTTTTTCCCAAATCAAAATTAATAATAATAATTTTCAAAATATATTTCCTTCTATTTTTTATGATTTTTTAAAAAAAAGCTAAAAATAACAATTTTAGCTGCTTTTTCCTCATTTTCATACAAAAATTTTTACTAAGATCGTTCCATTCAAAAAATATATATATTAAATCTTCATGTTTATCTTACCGATTTAGAATAGTGGCCACAATGCAGAGCAGCTCCACGGTTATCTGACGTCTTTCGGGACGGTCAATGCAAATCAGAGTCTCCTCGACCAGCAGATTAAAGGTCAACTCGCCGCGACTCATGTTGGTGAGAGTGGGTGTGGCTGGCAGGTGATGACCCTGGGTCAAAATGCCCTGAGGTGTTCGCTGAAGGATCTCCCAGATTTTGTTGTAAAAGTGCTTTGGCACGCGGCACAGGCAGCCCTCGAGTTGGCGACGTTGCAGGGTGGTGAGCCTATTAAAATAGGTATTTTAATTAGTGTAATCTTAATAGTTTCCTATTCTTTTCCCTTACTTTTCCTCCACCGCCCATTCGCTGACTGTTAGGACTTTCTGCAGAAGTATGCGAACTTGGAAGGGCGACAGATTGTCCACATCGATGCTCTGTTGGCCTGAGATTTGCAGATAGATTCGCATGGCCTCCAGCACCCAGCCAATGCGAATTTTCAGTATGCCACGGAACATGGATGGATTGGTGGCTATCAAACGGCCACAGTAAAGCACCACTTCCTGCTGCAGCACCGCCTGAATGACGTCGTATGGCTGGACACTCGTGTACATCACATTTTGAATCTCCGCCGGTGTCATCGGCTTGTCGAACACCGTCTCCTTCTGGCCAATGATGCCCACGGTGAGTTCCTTGCCATTAACCAGCACTGTGGTGATAAACGGACTAATCGAGTCCACAATGTGATGGAGCAGCGAGGAGCAGTAGCGCACGGCACGCCAGTAGCGAAGCGAACCAGCGCGGTGATAGAGCTGCGTTAAAGCCGTATTCACATTCAGGCCGTTGACCTCGAAGTGCGGACCCTCTCGGTTGAGAATAATACCCCACAGCTGGCACAGACAGTAAATGGAATCTGTGCTGCGCAAAGCATTGATGATGTCCGGCGTGGGTTTAGTATCAAAGTGCTGAAATGCAGATTAAGGTGTAAAGATATTTGTTTAACTAAATATTCCAGTTAACTTACCGCCACGGAAATCTTCTCCTCCACATAGGTTAGTGCCTTTGGCACATCTGTCAGCGATTGGTAACCTATATACTCATGGTTTATCTGCGAGAATGCATTCTCGTTGTCGGTCAGATCGCTCTGGTTCATGAAATCCAGATGCTCAATGCATGAGCTGCTAATCAGATTCTGCAAACGACCGATGCGAACTTTCATGCCATCGCAGTACCCCTTTTTTAGCATGGCCAGCAGGTCGAGCATCTCCTTGAACTGCGGATCCCGCATGTGCTCCTCCCGGATGAGCAGGCAAACGGTGGGTCTGCCCGATAGCCGCCAGTACTTGCCCACAAACTGCAGCTCCGTCTTGATGTCATCGATTAGCAGGGCCATGTCTCGGTAGAGATAAAAGTCGGAGACCTCGAAGATCAGTGGATAGCAGAGAACGGTCATGCCGCAGATGCGATACACCTTGCTGGTGCCCAGGGATCCCACGGGTCTCGATGGACGACCTGATAGGCCAACCTTGTTGTTGACTCCCAGATGTTGATAGACTTTGATAAGCTCTGTGGAGCTCCAGATTTGCACAGGTTCCACCTGGTAAATGGAAAATGGATTAATATGCAATATAGTGTTGTGAAAATATGGACTCACCTCATGTGGCGTCTGTGTTTGAATGCCATAGGTGGCCATCATGGCCTGCAGTCGCATGGACTCGGCAATCAGGACAATCTGCACCACCAGATCAGTGGCAGTGCCCTGTAAGGATTACCAAATGATTATTACAAATTATACAAATATCCCAGATGTTGGATTAAAAATGTTAGGATGCATGAGGCCAATTCAAGATTCTTGGATTTTAATCACATAACAAGAAAATTTTGACTAGCCAAATGCCAAAATGCAAAAACACACAAAAGGGGAATTATAAAGTGGGGAAAAGGATCGGGGGAAAACTAGCAGAGGGATAAAAGTGAGGGATATTGGAGAATATAAGTACAAGTTTTTAAGGATTTTAACATGCCAAACAAATATTAGATGGCGGTACAGCCAAGCACAATTTGGAAATAACTTACAAAAGAATTTAGAAAATATTTAATACCCTTTTAAGTTACCGAATTTTAAACATTTTTTGATAAGGTGCAAATTTTTAGGTGGTTTTTCAGGGAAATTCCAATCTTTGTCCCTAAACAAAATTAAAAGACCCAGCCCAGGCCCGAAATTAAAACCACAAATTACCTTCTTGTCATCCAATATTATAGGTATGCGTGGTTTCTTTATGCACAGTGTGGAGTTTTTAGTAAAGGAACATATTGATATTTAGCAAATGGCGATAAATTAGTATTTAACATATTTTTAAGGGCTCAAGCAAAGCTGCTGTCTTTTGGCATTTTATTTTGAAACGCTGCCCGGAAAAAGCGTGATCATTAGTTGGAATATTTTAAAGTAAATTCCCATTGTTAACACCATTGCAATAACATTTAGCCAAATCAAGCTTGATTGTTCTACGGCCTTTTGGTTAATTACATGAATTAGGAACTGCAAACTACGTAAATAAACCCAAACGTCTGGTGACAAATTACTTACAGTGCCCGGTTTAGCCTATAGAGCGTGTGTTTATGTTGATTTTGAAACAAAATATGCAGTATATTGATAGGTATATATAGAGAGGAAAGAAAACCGAAAAGAGTAAAGAGAAAACTTTTGATTTAGATACCAAACAGAATTTTTGTTCACAGTATACAAATAAAACGGGGTATACAGAAATAATAATTCATACTGAAAATAAGCAAATAATCATTTCTATAGTGTAGTTGTGTGTTGAGTGTGTGTGTTTTTTGATCGTCAAGTGTGTCATAGTTATATCTTTTCGATCAGTGTGTCTTGCCGAACATGAAAAAGCCACAATAAGTTAACTAGGTGATCTTTGGTGCGAATGTGTCTGTGGTCTAAAAAGCATAAATTAGTTTGTACACATACGTATAATTTATCATCTATATAATTTTGAATTTTAGAAATCAATAAAAGTTTTTTTTTTTGTATAGCAGGACATCTACTTACTTTGTGTTTTTCGTCAATAGCTTTGCCCTGTTATTACGAAACCAATTATTATACAATTTGGGTTTTTTATGGACGAACGGTTTATATTCGTTCATTTTTGGATATATAGATGTGTGGTAGCAGTAGTATGTGGTAGTGGTTGGTAGTAGAAAATGAATAGAATATGGATAGAATTAAATATCAAGAGCCAATTATTCACTTAACCCATTACAAGGTACTTAGGCAACAGAACAGAACTTATGTGTATAGGATACCAATTTGGGAGCGAACGCAGACACACACGGCAGACACACAAAACTCATCAGCGGCAGCGGCGGCAGAAGCGGAAGGTCCCAGATAGCCAAGTCTAAAGCCCTTGTAAACCCGACGCTATGAAATGTCTCTTTAACTCCAGTTATTATAAAATTTCTTTAAGTTTTAAGCCCGAAAGTGAGAAGTTCGAAATAGAACCCTGAATGAATGGATTCAATGAATTATTTAGAATTTTTTGTTTTATATGAATGAATTAATTAGAATTTTGAGTTTAATAGAATTGAATGAACGAATGGCATGAATTCCGAAAAAACATTTTTTGAAGAATAAAGGGCCATAATTTTGTGATTAAATCTGCATAAATTTTATTTTCTAAGCAGTTAACATTTATTTGTGAAAAAAAATGTTTCACTTTTTGTTCTCAAAAAAAAAAGCACAAAGAAAATCTGGCAAATTAAAAAATTCATAAAAATTATTCATTCATTCATTCAATTCGAAATTAATTAGAAAAACATTAAATTTATTTCACATAGAATTGAATTAAAGAAATCAGAAATTTCATTGCATACTATGACAAAACAAAAATTGAATGATTCACGCAGGGCTCTAGTTCGAA